GTTTTAACACATCATAATAGAAGGAATACATGTGAATTTTAGAATAGTCTAAAATAGACATACCCATATAGATAGGTTTGTCTTTTTCAACAATTACAAGGTCTTCATTTATGATATGTCTGTGTTTGAATAGCGGTTTATTTACCAGTTTTTGGAAGCGTTCAGGCGTATTGACAATTTCAATATCACCATGCTTTCTTACATTCTCCATGGTCTTGCCGTATACGCTATTATTCATTAATTTAAACAAATCTTTTTCAAAGTCATTGTTGGCATTCTTTCTTTTTTCAGTGTTGAATTCAATGAATGGTTTTAAGAAGTGTGCTTGATTGAAACTTATTGCTCTATGGACTTTTTTTGAGACGTAATCCGTGTTGCAGATAGAATTTCAATGCTGATATGTGTAGAACATACTTATTTTTATCCATTACATTTAAAACTAACTTATTGGTTTTTTTCATCACTGGCATCTTTTCCATAATAATATGTGTGTATATCATTCTGGACTTTTGAAAGCATATTCTCATTGATACTCATGATTTCAGGTGCTAATGGATAGTCTTTATGTAAATCATGTAGTTCTTTTGGATAATCTAAATCAACTTCTAATATGTATCCTACGTTCATCATCATCACTGTATTTCATTACTCTCTTTTCATCCATTCTACCGTAATACCATTTAAAAACACCATATGGCAGTTTCTTACACATTGCTAATCCGTAAAGGTTATTAGCATCTAAATAACTTATGTATGATGAAGGTTTAGATTTATCATAATCTTCTTTCATGTATTTATTGTTTGCTTCTACTTTCTTAAAGGAGCACTGTGCCATTCCTCCTCTTAATCCATGTTCAATCATCTCATACATATATTTTATGTGTATTTGTTGTAGTCTAACTCCTGTCAGTGATAAAAAGGCATTCCAAGAATAGTTATGTAAAGTGATATAATATGCTGGGTCTAATCCATAATAGTTCAAACACATATCCCTAAAATGTTCAAAAACATCAGTCAGTAAATATACATCAGTCATCAAATACAAATCATGATATTCACCAATGTTTTTAATGTTAAAATGCTTCCATACAATATTTGCTCTGGTGTAGTCTTTGTCAGTTATGTTTTCTTCATATAATTTGCTATAAACACGGTCTTTCTTTGGTAGTTTTTGTTTCATCGAATTTCTCCCATGAGTTCATGTAGTCATAGGGATATACACCCTTATCAGTCAGCAAATTCAAATCAGTTTTAGAATTGATATATGGGTTGGTGCTTGTATATCTGAAACGAGTTTCCCAATCTTTAATCGTTTGATTTCCTTCATATTTGTTTTATCTAAGTAACTTATCCAATGACGCAGTTAAGAAAGCGAAGCTGTCTTTAAACTGACAAGCACCAAATGAAAAGGTTATGAACTTTTCACTGTTTTGTGCTATTACATCTATTCTTTTGTTTTGGTTTAGTTCTATGTTTAGTTCATTTGCTTTTGCTATGATTAAGTGAGCGTCATAATGTTTAAGCTTATGAAAAAAAAAAATAGTGATTTTAAAATACCTAAATGAATAATCCAAATTACATTTTACATGCGCTGCGCCTCTGTATTTGCCTGTGAAATGGCAGTGGTCGCGAATTCAGGTTCAAATTTCTTACCGCACATGGAGCGATGAGACGATAATTTAAACTCTAATTTTTGTTCGTTCGTTAATTCATCCATCGGTTTATTAAATTGCATTTTTTCAAATATATCTTTCTTAATTTCAGTCAGTTTTTCTACAAACTGTTTCATACAGTCCTCACCTCTGTATAAATACGGTTGGCATGCATTATCAATCCTGCTTACTACATTTAGCATATAACCACATGGTTTATGTTCTTGATATGTGCCTTTTATACCATGTTTAGCGTTAGTCGTTAGACATTCAAAATCACCATAGATTGCAAAAGGACAAGGCAATTTAGTATTATGCTGCTCAAATTCTATATAAGTGTCTTTATCAGGCATCTTTGTTTGTTGTCCTTTTGATGTCATACATCCGTTTTCAAGATGTTTCTTATATTTAATATACCTTTTCTGATTGAAAGGGATTTAAACAATGGTGGCAGTAAAACTTTATATTTGTGTTGCTACTGCTTTGACAGTTTAATAATCTACTTCTATTTTTAACTAATACATAGTGATAATTATTATCTGTATCATAGAATTTTAGTAAATCAATTTCGCATTTAGCATGTCTATTTTTAGTGCCTCTATGCAATATAATCGTATTATCATTTAAGCAGTCATCGGGTTCAAACACATTTATTGAAACTGATTTGTTGTTCTCTTCAAATCTGTCAATGTCCCTATTGCCAGTTGGAAAATGTACACCATCCCAGTTCAAAATATAATCTTTCAGTTTATTATAGTGGAACATTTCCTCTGGGTGAGGTTTGCTTATTTTGTCATAGACTTTGGATTGAATACAATATGAAGCATGTTTGGTCGTTATTTTTAATGTTGATACATGCCTTTTTAGGTTAATCCATTCTGGTAATTCTATGCATCTCCCTGCTCTTGTTGGGTCATATTTGTCATAGTGAATAGTTATTGATACAATCCTTTTAAATCTCAAATTAGATGTTGAACCTTCTAAATGTTGTATTTGTAATCGGATTTGAATAACAGTACCTTCTAATGCTTGTGTCAGTTCATCCTCATTACTAATATTGAAGCGGGTTGATGGTAGGGCATATACAAGTTCCTGACTTCCTAATTCATTTCCACCATCATCATATTCAGGTTGTCAAACATTCCTTCCGTTCTTATGTTAAGTTTCATGCTTCTATTAGTTCTTAGCAAATCTGATAGTCTTTGTTTTTGGTGCGCAATCATTTCTAATCCCCTTTCTCCTTGAAAGTGTTTATGTTCTAAAACTATTGAAATAGCGTATCTTGTAAATGCTGATTGAATATCTCTGACCCTAAATATATTTCTTATGGCGTGTTTGGTTATTAATTGCCTAACCCTTTCTCTATTTACACCATGTGTTGCCTTTTTCATAGCATAACTTCTGTATTCATTAGTTTTCTTTACTGACAATAATATAGTTGTTAAAACATTTGATATGGGTTTGTCTTTGTTGTATCTGAATTTCTTATCATCTATCATTATTGACTTTAATGTGTTTCTTCCTTTTTGGGGTATTTCTGCTTTATTAGTGTTCAATAGATAGTCTATCATCGTTTTCATCATATAATAGTATATAGTTTATTTAGTTAATCTATCTTTACATAGATTTTAAAGAACTCTATTATTTTAATCTTTGAATATATACTTAAATAGTATTTATTTAAGTATATTAGTAGGATGGATTGTATGAAGGATTTACCTGTTGATGTGTTGAGTAGAATTGTTTAATTATAAAATTGGAGAACCTGAATATGTGAAAATAAAGCATAGTGAAGCTTAGAAGAGAATACAAAACACATATTAAATATCAAGACTTGGTCCGAAAATAGACAGAAAGATAAGACAAAGAAACAACATGTATATAATTTAGTAATGTATTATGAGAGAGGGAGTGCAGGGAGTGCCATTTAGTTTGAAGAGTATAGGAAACATCATAACAGAAGAAAAATACTAACTACTATCTTTGATTTATGAAGAAGTAGAAGAAGATACTTTAAATTTTAGAGTTAAACTTGATATTGATGTCCAAATAGTAGAAAAACTCCCAGATAAAGAATATGGAGGCAATGAATTTAGTTATAGAGAAGTTTACTTCATGAATGACGTTGATGAATATGTAGCTGAAGATAATATAGACGATGTATTGAATAAAGCAGATGAAGAAATAAATAACAACATAGAAGAAGACAAAGATAAAGATAGTATAATAGGAATACAAGCATTTCATTTTAGATTAATATGTATTGAAGATATTTACTACTAACATACTTCTAATACTATTAATTTTATGGATTTGCAAGATCGGATTATTAAAGGTTAAGGGTTGATCTTTATTGTTGTCTGCCGGTTTGTCTTATATATTGTTCTTTGCTTGGTGTGTTTTTTCTTTTTTGGTTGTTATAGGAATTCTTGGAAAAGACTTTTAAGAAGATAATCATATGTATATGTATTGGATAAATTGTGTAGATACTGTGTTAAAAATTTACCAATTGATAATTTTGAATATGGATTGAAGACTTGTAAGACATGCTTGGAATACAAGGGAAAGAACTATGAAAAACATAAAGATGAAGTGAATGAAACACGAAGAACTAAATATAAGGAACATGAAGAATATAGAAAAAATAAACAGGAACAAATACAAAACTATCGTGATAAAGTTGCCTTTTGTAATGTATGTAATTCATCAACGAAGGCGCAATGCTATTGAAGACATTTAAAAACAGAGAAGCATAGAAGGAATTTAGGAACGGTTGATGGATAGGATTTTGTAAAATGAATAAGGTAATAATGCGTTTGACTGCTATGATTTTGAAAAATGAATGAGGTAAGTATGCTGTGAATGCTATGATTTTGAAAAATTGAATAAGGTAATTGTGTTTTGACTGCTATGATTTTGAAAAATGAATGAGGTAAGTATGCGTTGACTGCTATGATTTTGAAAATTTGAATGAGGTAATTATGTTTTGATAGTGTTAAGAAAAATGAAGCAATCAACAATATTTAATCTGACTTTTTGGACTGTTATGTTGTTTTTGAATAAATTTGATTTGTTACACTGCTATGATATTAGTTTAGAAACTTCACTCAATCAACTTTTTTTACATCTTTTCACCATACTAGGTGGGTGTGTAGACTAGAATAGGGAGACCCCCGAGTCCTCATGAGTCCTCTCGCCCCTGGCTGGATTAGACTAGAGGTAGACTGGGCCAGACTGGTCCATGTCCACAACGCTGAGATTTGCCTATACTTGAAGATACACGCCCCATGTCTGCTTTGCACCGCATACAAGTGTGGCAGAACCTCTGCATACTCATACTCGACGTGCCTTCTCGACGTGCCATTCTGCGCGACTCAGGTCAAAGAGACGCGCATTCACCTGGCGCCGACGCCAAGCAGACATCTCAGACGGGCCCGGGTTGAGATTGGTGAAAACCAGTTGATGCCCCAACCCGAACATAGTTCATTGACTCGGACTGTGAGTCTGTTCCAGCACAGAGGCGTTCTGTTCAGTGAGTCTCCGTTTCACGGTCTTTACAGTCATACCAAGCACGTCCCGGACGTGCTCCCAGCCAAGCGGCATTGTCGCGCCAATGGTCCAGCGGATGAAAGTCCGGGAAGGCAGCACCTGACGGCAGAACAGGTGTCTTTGAGTTTAACTGGCATCTGCCTCGCTGCCTCTCGTACAGATCTTCTACTAAGGATTTAACCTTTGGGGGGGTTCTAGCTAAATCCAAATCCCTGATGAACCAAAAAAAAACTCTTGGACTCTATAAGAGTACACCAAAAGGAAGGTTTTTCGTGCCGGATGCCAAGTCGCTGCCAGAGCATGTATATCTGGTCAGAAAAGCGCTCACGGAACTGATGGGAAAATTATAACCCAGACACTTCATGGGACTGCCATAGGACTGCCGATAAGTCCAGGGGTGGTTGAAAAGGGGTCTGGCTTGATCGGCAGTCCGGACTGGCAGTCCCCGACGGGTCGTGTCTGGGTCAGACATCGATCCGCAGCCACGATGCGGCCAGGAGCTACCCGGTTCGAACGACTGGCGACATGAACCTTCCGGTGAACACATGAGCCGCTGAGGAACCTGAAACCCCTCTCAGCCCCGTTCGTAGCTTCTTGTTCCTATAGTAGTAAGGCCAGGAGCCCCGTTCGTAGCGGCGCTGAGGACCCTGCGCAGCAAGGGCTGCACACCACCTGAAGAGCTGCCTGACGGCACGGCGCACGGGGGGCGGGCCAGCCGGCGAGCGGCTGGTCTCGAAGCCAATTCATCGGGCCAAAACGGTCTGTCGTTCTTGCAAGACCCAACAAGAAGATGTTGGCCGTTGAGTCCATTACAGTTACTGTATTTCTCTTGGAGACGAATTGTTGGTGCAAACCACTCTCGACGGACCTCTTCCCCAACGGACAGCCCTCCGCAGCCGGTCCCCCCCTCCGTAGATGTCCCATAGGATCCCCCGCCACCGACACAGACGCGCGTCGCGTGTCGCGTCGCCATCACACACGAACCGGGCCACCGGACGCACCTGAGGAGCTAAGTCCACCAAGCGCTGAAAGGTGGCCTGCTTTGGGATCAAACCGAAGCGGCGTGCTTTGGTCGGTCCGACCGCGGTGCGGGAACGGTGCCCAAGCCCGTGCGGTGGTTTTGGGGTCTGGAATGGATCCCAAAAGAGTCCTGGAAAGGCAAGAAATAGTTTCTGTTGGACCCGCTGTCATGGCTAGAAGTTCATGTCGAAACCGTGCTACTCTCCGTGCCGCTTTCTAGTTGGGGATCACGAGTTCTCCCAAGTTACCCCTCCAGAGTTCGCCCACCGCAATACTCACTTTGGGAGGGAAAAAGAGGGCCCATGTGGGCGAAAGATCTGCTTGACGTAGCGCCACATGTTCTCTGATTGACGTACGCATCTGCGTCCGACACGATGCCTGTCCATCTTCGTTCTCCGGGTCCGACTTGACCCAAAAGCGTGTCGTGGACACTGTGTGACACTCCCCATGCCAACTGCGCACGACGTATCGCATCGAACGCATCGAACGCTGTCCACCATGACCACCCTGTCAACGGTTTGAGACGAAGCGCATTCCGCCTAACGCCTTCACCACCACGCCCAAACGAACGCCCGCGCCGGGAGCGTGAGCGAAAGCGATCCAGCGACCGTTTCACGGTCGAAGGTCTAGTCGTTCGGCTCGGAAGCTCGGACCTGGTCCGAGAGCGACAGGACATGGAGACCGACAGGAGGTCCCACTTAATCGATCAGTCTGTCCAGTGTTCGGTTTGTCCGTCCTTGAGTCTTTCTACTTGGACTTCATCGATCAGTCGCCAGCTGTTCTCTCACCAGTCACCGCCTCGTTGGGTTCCAAGACCATGAGCCCCGCATTGAACTCCTCGGAATGAAGCCCGTCTTCGCCCTGGCGTTCATCGCAGGATCGCTTAGCTCAAGCCGTAGTTAGTTTTTGCACCCGGACAAATGTGCACCCGGGACATCCTTCAGAAGTTGGGCATTTGAGGACCTCTAGATCCCTCCTCAAACTCCTGAGTCGACTTGATACTTTCTGGACACGCGTTCCATGGATGGAATATACATGTGCCGGTGGCCGGGAATTGTCGTCGTTTTGGTCTTTTCGCTTGTTCTTCCAGGTTCGAAACATGGACTGTGGATTCCACCAGCCCGACCACATCGGAATCCACCGCTCCCGCCTGCGCGCCGAGGTCCCGAGCCTCGTGACCGAGCCGCGTGGGTGAACGAACGACGGACTGTCGCGGACGGCACAAGCGTCCGTACCTTCGGTCAGGGACGAACTCAAGAACGTGTCTAATATGAGTCATATGTGTAGGAAGCGCCCAAAAGGTTGTAGTCATGGAACACTGTCATTTCCGTATGAGACACTCTGGTTTGAACACCAAAAAGTAGAACGACACACCGAATGTGAGACACGGATCCTGAGACAGATGGGATCCTTGGGATCCTTCGGATCAGGCGTTCAAGGACCGTACGCCGTGGAGACGTGGTGTTCAGCGCCGAGCTGGACTTCCCCCCCTTTGCTCCGAGGCAGCTCCGAGGCATGATTTTACACCCCTCTCAAGACAGCACACGGGAGATTCTTATTTTTGGACAAAGTCTCTGGAGAAGAAGAAGAAGAAAGAAAGAACACCAGAAGAAAACCAGCCAAGAAACCCTTCGCACACATACATATTGCGACCTCATTCGTCACACATCTTCGTCACACATTCTTCCACCCGTGATGGGGCCATTCCGGGACACACCACCACTCCGTCTCCGTCTCCGTCGCTGGGCCTCCGAACGGCGGACAGCTCCGGTCGCTGGCATAAGTGGTCGCTGTTCTGCGTCACGATCTGCGGGTGCCAGATGGGACCGGACGGCGGCGAGTGGTGTGAAGCGGCGTGGCGACTGCGGTGGATGTGTTTCCTTTCATGGAAAAGTGCGCAGAGGGTGGAAGATGTTGGGAGAGAAGTGGAACATCACCCCCCCCAAAAGGACCTCTATATAGAAGTCTTGGGACAGAAGGGTCAATTCGGAGTAAATCTCTATTTAGGGATTTAAGACGCCAAGAAAGCTTGACAGCTGAGGTGCCCTGCCATGTCGCTGTCCATGTACACCTCGAGATCAGCTTTGAACGCAGGCTTTCAAGTGATCATTGTGCCATACCTGGAACCCCAGTCCCAACCAGAAACAGTTCTGGTTGTTCCGAAGCTTGGCGCGCCAGCTGGAAATCCTTTGGACTGGGGAGTTCCATCCAGAACTCTTTCTGGTTGGGACTGGGGAAATCCAGGTAGATACCACCCACTCTCCCCCCCTCAAAAGCCACCCGCCCGGCACACCCCCTCCCCAAAGAAACGGTCCAATCTCTTCTTCATGGTTAGGTTTGAGCTCAAAGCCCAAATCGACATTGCTTGACGGATGTCACTCCCCTTCAACTCGATGTCTACAAAAGCAATCCATCCTTTCTGTGGTCCCCAAATCGCATCCAAACCCCCCCAAAAGCCTCACAGGAGCTGCCAACCCGGCGTGTCCGCGGCGTGTCTCCCAGTCTTCCGGCCGAGGAGCTGCTTTCTGAAAGTCCTTCCCAGTGAGACTTCCCAGTTGCCATACCTCTGCCGCTCCGAAGGTTCACCGCCACTGGTCGTCGTGGGCACGTGGATCGGTGCCCGTCCATGTCAGGGGGGGAAAAACTGGTGATCCGGGGCGGAGAGCCGGGGAAAGAAGGTGTCAACGGAGTCTGCCAAGTTCAACAACTGCGCGACGAGTGTTCCAAGTGTGGAAGGCATCGTCCCACTCCTTTGACCCTCCGATTCACAATTCTAGGGATCAATTGATCTTAGGATGTCTTCCGTCAACAGTTCTTTCAACCCTCCATCAATCAAGTCTGCTAGCAGACCGGTTCTCTTGTTCAGTCGGCAAAGCTTTTTGCTTGAAAGACTCGTGCTTCGTAGTAGAAGTTTGGCCCCCCGCCCACAGAGATTGGATCCAGCCACCCTGCCCGAACTCGCGCCACACCAGTCTTCAGTCCATTTGTCTGGGATTTCTCGGTTTTCCAGCAGAGGTTGAAGAACCCGAACTAGGCTATCCTATAGGTACTCCCAGTAGGGTCCTATTTACGGTCACTTAACCTCTGTTGGTTCAGCTCGTATTGGTGCATGTCCCCCAAAAAGCCTCGCCTCCCGTGAACTCGGCGCCCGGGTGTCTCGGCGCTGCAAAGTGTCTCGCCACTAGACTCGAGGGTGTCTCGTAGAGACTCTAGTCGAAGCTCAAAACCGAGGACATTCGGACCAGAAGGGTCCCACTGTCGAAGTCAAAGACACCAACCAGCACCTTCACCTGGCTGGAACCCCCTACACCACTAAGGGACCTCCAGCCAGGACACCCCGAAAGGTCCAGGAAGACTGGACCAGCCTTTGGCGCCACAGCCTCCCCATCGTCACCCCCCCAGACCGTCACACCATCCGGATGCGTGTTCGAGCGAGGCCACGCGTGCTGGGGCCACCGGCCCTCAAAATGGCATAATTCTTGGCAAAGGCCTGGTATTGCCTCACCGCTGGAACAGCGCTTGTTCACAGCGCTGGTCAACAGCCAGATGTCTTTTTGAGCAGCCGGAAAGCAGTGAAACGTGCAGGTCAGCTCAGCTTGGGGCTGTGCCAAAAATCAGATCAGTATGATCAACAAAAAAACATGGGTGGCCGGCAAATGACAGCAGGAAGGGTCAGGAGGGACGTTTTAAAAGTGTGCGCGGGCCGGGTAGCTTGCGGAGTCCCTGCATGTGTTTCAGAAGCATGGCTGACATGGGTTTCAGTATGTTTCAGTGATTGTACTCTTTTGGGTGGTTGACATGTTGATCCGTCTTTCTTGATTTTGGCACCGGAAAGGACTAACATAGTCCTCTAAAGAGAGCACGGAGTGTGCCACTGCACGCCCCATGAAAAGCAACATTCTCAGTCGCCCCGGAGCAGGTCCCAAAGTTACATTGAATTCCCCCGGACAAGACCGGAGAAGGTTTGGATATGATACCCTACAAGTCAAAGACCTCATTTTCCTGGAGATCGTCATACAAAACCGATACATATGGAGGTAAAAGACCAGGTTTTACTGGGTCTTTGGACTTGTAAGCATATGTTAGTTTAGGGGTCCTCAGTGCTGCCAGGACTTCTTTGTTGGAAGAGTGTAGCCGACGACATTTACACACGCTCGCAGAAGCAGAAGGAAGTTTAAGGAAGTGAAAGCAAAGCCTCTACAAGCTCCAAAACTTGCCTCAATTTGCTCCTCCAGAGACTACATCTCTGCCACCCTGGCCTGGACCCTGGTCTTTTTTCGGAGCTCTGAACACCAGCGTTTTTCATGATCGAGCTCCAAACACCACGGCATTGGGGTTCTCAATCTCCTCTCCGCAACCCGCCACCCGCGACCCGATCGCGAAAGGACGGCATGCGTGGGGAGGAGGGTGGGACTGCATGTGGCAGGTCCGGTTTCGGAGCAACGAAGGGTGTGATCAAAGAGAAAAATAGCACACAGGCTCCCAGCGCAAAACAACCCTCCTTACAGTCAAAACAGAGTCAAACAGAGTCTTAGATATCAGAAAGATGCTTCTGCTCTCTGGACACTTCAAAAGATTTAAAAAAAAAAAAAACTAGAGACCCACATATCAAAAAAGAATCTAACAAAGGCCACAACCGGTCGACCAGATATCAGAAGTAAAAAGGATAGAGACCGCTCGGGAACCTCTGTCGGTCGGTCAAAGCCTCTCAGAACGCGGGGAAAGACAGCGAGTCCGGCGGCGGGCGTCGAGCGAGTCCGGCGCCCGTTCTCCTGGGTGGTGACGACTTGATCAGCACCGGCCTGTCGAGTGACGAGCGGCTGGAGGTGGAGAGGAGGGTGAGAGGAGTCACCCGATGGTTCGTGGGGATGAAAAAGAGGGGTGCTTTGGGTCCTCACTACACGAGGACCCAAGCGGAGAGTACTTCCTTTTCGAAGAGCAAAATGGTCTTTTTCGTTTGGGCCTGTGCCATCCGCTTCCATGTTACTGTAGTGAGTCAGTGTGTAGATCATATCCTATGATGCTTGGTAAAGACCTTTCTCCAAAGTAGTGATACACTACCTATAGGAATAATCATTGAAGATTCCATCTGCCAAATCGAGGGCAACTGCACTCCCTGAGATATTCATCGTCACATGGAGTTCACCACCTGTTCGGTATTCGGATTTCATCGTCTTCCAACTGGCCATGCATGGTCATGCCATCCATTTAACCATCGATGATTTCAGGGAGTCAGAGCATTTTGGACCGACTGTCACTGGTTTTGTGGGACACATGGGTGATTGATGTCGTCCCACAGGTTTGAGGATGTCCGGATACACAGCTCTGAGAATGTCCGGGAAGATCTGCAGATCTTAACCCATGGTGGGTCTTCCACCCCAAGGCAATGGCGGTTTTCCTGCAAATTGGGTGGTCATTCTCCCAAAATCAGGTCCACCCAGTGTAGAGAGTAGAAGGGGAACAAACCATGATGGGCCTATATCCATTGGTTTCATGGAAGGCGTTTGCTCTCTAAGACCTTGTTTCAAAAGAAGTTGTCAGAAGCCACTTGGATTGAGATGTTTGCTGAGATGCTTAGACTCCCTGAATTCATCATGGTTACGTGGATGGCATGGCCCCTTGGATGACCATGAAATCCTAATATCAAACAGGTGGTGAACTCCACTTCCCATGATCATCCTAAGGCAGGTATATGATTAGGTAGGTATGCTGTGCCGCCCCCCTCATGCCGACGCTGCGGCGCCATACTTGTACCGTTCGTGACTCGCCATGAGAAGAACAGCCATATGGGTGTGTATTTCACTAGGTGTCACCTCCCAAGCAATGGGTAGACTGGTCGATTTCCCTTCTCCCAGGGGGTCATTGGGAGGGAGTTATTAAAGTACACCGAACCCGATGCGACCACAGGTGCCATGCCGTCACTCTCACAGGAACCCGAGTCCCGTTCCAGGAGTGTTCTTTTTCTCCAATAACATCTGGAGGAAACCGGTAGAAAAACAAACCAAGCTCGTGTGGGCTCGGTTTCGGGGTTTCCTTGTAGATGTTGTCCGAAAATATATATATATATATCAAACCAAGCCATTCTGTTGAAAAGCTGGAGTCCAATCCACCAAAACTCTTCCAGGTCAGAAATCCACCAGGTAACCAAACCACCCATCGACGTCGGAGCTCGGGGCCTGCAAAAGTCGTGCCCTGGCGTCCGGGGAAATCTCCGGCAGAACTAGCACCGTCACCTGGCGGCACCCGGTGGCGTATGTGGCACCCCCCATGGCGCACGGGGGAACGGACCAAAAGAATTGCTCCTCCAGCTGCTGAGTCACCCTGACTCACCCAAAATATCTAAAATGTATTCTAGAGCCCAGACACGGACACGTGTGTTTGGGGGAAGTGAACGACCCTCTTTCGGGGGTGGTTGGTGGTCCAAGATCCGTTGAGGTCACGAAACCAACCAGGCTCCATCGGTACTTCGGCCATGCTGGGACGGATCCATCGAGCCATCGGGGAAAACAAACAAAAACATCCTCCTGTGCTCGGCAGGCTCGGCAGGCTCGGGGGATCCTGACGTGCAGATCGGGAGATCGGGGGATGAGAACATCCCCAGCCTGAGTTGCGATCGGCGGCCAGAACGCAACTAGCACTGACCACTTACAACAAGGAAACCACCCGGCTGGAAAAGGAACTATCAAGAGAGCGAAGCAAGAATGATCTCTTCTCTTCTCCTCCCGATGCATGTCCTGCGGCTCCTGCTCCTTGCATCGGCCCTGAAGAACATGGAAGTCCCATCTAAGCGCCTCATCCACTTCACCGCACATCGCCCACCATCCTTCACCCCTGCTTTTGACGGTCACAGCACCGCAAAACCAGGGTCCGAGCCCATCGACCACCTACCAGGACCAGGGTCAACTCACCGGGTTCAACCAGACCACCAAGGTCAAGCAACTCACGGCGTGTGGCCTTGGTGTCATTCCCCTTAGTAAAACAGTGGGTCGTTCGGGAATTCCGGCTGTTCGACATGGAAATTCGACTCCTTTAACAAGCGGAAAGGCAAAAAGAGACCAAACTACATGGGAGGTCAACCAGCCAGGGCTTTGAAGACGCTCCAAAAACTGCGCAACCATCCGCACAAAAACGCGTGCCCTCTGGGGCGGGTATGTCAAGCCAAAAACACATGTGACGATGTTCTTCTGCAAGAATATCGGATTGGATAGTTGTTCAGCTCCAGGTTTGCTGACCCAGATCCCTACGATCCATCTAACTGAAGCTCCAGCTCCAGGTTAGACGAAGTGAGTCTCCTCACCGTCCGCGTCTTCTCCCCGCCTCGTGCGCCGTCGCGCCGCGCCGCAGCGAGCGCAGCCACGCCACAGAGCAGTGCAGGAAGTCCTCGGACCTGGAGGGCGGCGGCTGAGGTCTGGGGAGGTGGGAGGGGTGGAAAGAAAGGAAAGACTGGAAACCCATCGTTTCCCTAAAGAAAAACCATCCATAGGAAGTGGAAGGCTGGTGTCCTGCGGAGTCTTTTGTGTTCGAGTTGGAAGTAATTACTGGGAATTTCTGGAAGAGTGTGGGTGTCGTTCTGATTGGAAGAGGATCCAACACCACGTCTACCGAAATCGCTTTCAAAGTCCCTGATCTATTCTTATGGCAGCTGAGGTCTTCTTCTGCTAGATGCCTAAGCGGCCGAAGCCCATCTATAGTAGATGTTTAAGCCTCGGATAGTCCCTTCGAAGCCGGACCCTTGGCAGGCAGAATGACCCATGATGACCCGACTGAACTGGGAGGTGCGCCAACACACAGGTGACGGACGTGGTGACGGACGTGGATGGCAAGTGGCCAGAAAATGCCATGTGAAAAAGAACAACAAGGGCCCCTGCACCTTCCCTCCCAGTTGAGCCCCAGACAACAAGACAGTCACGAAGGAACACCTGGTGAGCAGGTGTGAGCAAGATGACTCTGGTGAGGAAAACTCATGGTCGCTCCAATGAGTAATGATCTTTGTCTCACTGTTTTTCCTCGTCGTGAAAACAAATTCATGGCCCGTCTCTCTTTGCTGCAGGGGCATTCTTCAGGTCCGATCTGCACCTTTGGTGCTTACAGTAGATTGAACCAACATGCATTTTAGAGGAGAGAAACGACTGGTGTGAGAAGAGAAGAGACATGAAGAGACTACGAGCTAACATCTTCGATGCCTGTTTACATCTTCGTGGTGCTTTATCTTATGAAGATGTCCTGGAAAAGATCCTCTACGTTGAACATCTACGCCGTAGGGTTACCAGGCGAGCCCTAGTCACCTAGTCTGTCGTCCGTTCTAGCTCGCTGGCGAGACGACACCACTCTAGACTAAAAATACAAAGAACTTTAAATATATATGGCCTCAGTAGCTGTTTGTTACTAGTAGCGATGTCCTCCACTCTACTAGCGATGGCCTCCACCCTAGTAGTGATAGCCTCCAACCTAGTAGCGATGGCCTCCACCCTAGTAGCGATGGCCTCCACCCTAGTGACGATGG